AAACTAAAATAAATAAATAAGGAGAACTGAGCGTGAGAAAATAGGCAGGGGATGAAGAATCTTGACTGTGACCCCAGGGAGAGGAATCCGCGCCTTCACTCTGTGCCCAGACCACGTTCACTGCAGAAGTGAGGGGGCCCAGGAGGGGCTCGTGCAGGGGAGGAGTAACCCATGGCAGTGAGGTTTGCAGGCAGACCCTGGAGCTGGAGGCGGAGACTCCCACACTTGGGCTGCAGGTTGAGGCTTGAACACAGATAAGCAAGCGCGTAGGATGGACTGGAGCAGGAAAGAGGCTGGTGGCTGGGTCACCCACTGGGAGACAGTTGCGATAATCCAGGTGTGAGGCAACCCCCAGACCAGGAAAGGATGGAGAGGTTGGAGAGGTCAGGGAAAGCACTGGCAGGAGGAGCTGGGGGTCGCGGGGCGGCCCAGGACCCTGAGAAGGGGGCGGCTGAGCCCTCGTTGGTGCCCAGAGGGGGTCTAGGCCAGGAGCCGGATGCACCCTCCCGGGGCGTGCCGAGCGCGGGGGCCCAGCCGAGTGGAAGCGCGCGTCCGACAGTCCGTCTGTGGTCTGCCTTGGTGTCATTTGTGTGCGCTGCTTTCCCTCATCGGTGGCTCTGGAAGGGAGAGCGCAAGCCAGGGTCTTTGGAAAGAGCATGTATGCATGCACACGTGCCCGTGTGGGGGGCAGTTTGAAAACTCCCCTAGAAGTGAACATGCTGCCACCAGGGAGCTCCTTGGGAATCGCTGGTTTCAGCGGGCATGGCCGCGGCTGGCCCCGGGTCTGCCAGTCTGTACCTACCTGCTCCTGCGGTTCTGGGCGCCCAGGACGCGCCGCAGGACGGCAGTGCGCTCCCCAACCCAGGTGCCCTCCGAGCTCTCATCTCACAGAGCTTTGGTCTACTTGGGGAGATCGTATCTACTCACCAAAATAACCATACTCTGATAAGAGCCCAGGCCGATAAGGTCAGCCCGTTATCTGAGTTCACAGAGGCCACACGTCTGAAGAACTCGGAGGAGACATGCAGTGCGTGGTCAGTGGAGGCCTTCACTGGGGACCTTGGTGGAGAAGCTGCCTTGGGCTCCCCCAGATCGGGACATGAAATGAACACTGTGATGGAAGAACATAAATGAGGGGGTTGGGGATAGCGCAGCCGAGCCCCGTGAGGTGGCCGGTCAGGCTGAGACCTCAGGGTCAACCTCAGCCTCTCTGCCCCACTCTGCAGCCCTGGCGCAGGAAATCACACTTTAAAGCCTCCCCAGGCGGAAGTTGTGGGGGTGGGGGCGTTGGAGGGGTGTGGGCCACCCCCTCAACTGTCTCTCCACAGGCGCCCTCCGGCTTCCTGCCCTTCCTCTGGGTCTGGGCCCCGCAGAGCTCACCTCCCATGCTGCTGCTTTGCTGCTAAGGGCTGGGCTGGCCGAGGCCACACACAGTGCCCGCTGGTGCCCGGGTGGGGAGCCGACCCCCGGGGGCTGCTGTAGGAAATCTGGAGCAGTCCTCTGGCTCCTCATCTGGCCTGCTCCCTCACTGCTGGAAGTGGAGGTTCATTTTCCTTGTGCTGCCAACGGACCTAGGAAAGGGACAGGGAGATGCAGAACTGGTCTTATTTCCTAAGGGTTGTCCAGGGACCCCAGGGAGGCCCCCAAACCCAGCACAGCTGGCCAGAACTGCCAGGCTGTGTGGACGTGCTGAACCCAGGGCCGAGGGCAGCCTCAGTCTGCCTTCTGCTGGAACTCAGGTGTGTCGGAGGGCTAGTGTGGGCTCAGGGGGCCTGGAGGAGAATGGGGCGGGGCCTGGTCTAAGGAAGGATGCTGAGGGGCGGGAAGGAGCGGAGGGCCCTCGGGAGGTGGCGATCTGATGGGCCATCTGATGGGCGGAAGCCAGGGGTCGAGGAGACTTCCCTTTGGGATGGGATGAGGAGAGGGAGACATTTCCCGAAATGTGAGAGCCAGATCAGACAGGGGTGCCTTGCCTGGCTCTTTCAAGGGGGAGGGGGTGGAGTGTAGGTGGTAGGGACTGGTCCCCAGAAGACAGGGACCAGCGGGGGTCCTTGGTGGCCAGTCCAGTCTGTCTGTCTGCTGACTCATGACCTTTGAGGAGCTGGGGAAGCTGCTAGTTCCCTCTTCCCTCCTGAGATCTCCCGCCCTCTGGCCTGAGTCACTGGGGCGGAGCTGCTGGGAAAAGATTTCCCTTTCCCGGATCTGACTTAACCCCCAAAGCACTGGAGAGGAGGGGACACGTGGCCTGAGAAGCCCTCTCTCCCCAGCTCCCTCCAGGAAGCTCATCCCTCACTGGCCACCAGCTCCTGAAAAGTTCCTCTAAGGCATTCCAGGGACTGGAGCCCCGTTCTTCTTCCGGACCCTGGCTGTGCCCCTTGGCTTAGTTCCAAGCCCTGGATGGACCCGAAGTGCCCGTGACCTTCGGTGCTCTAACTTCTCTTCGGGGAAAGGAACCACACTTTCAGGATGGTGAAGTTCTTCCCATAACCATCCCGAATCCTTCCTGTTGCCCTGGAAGCCCCTGTCCTGTTCTCAGGAGAGACTGTGCAATGTGGGCTGGAGTGGGCTGGGGACAGGCCGCCCTTAGAGTGGAGGAGCACCCCTGCCCGTGGGCTTGTTGCTGGGCTTCTGTGTATGGCTTCCCAAGTTGTGGTTGCTGGCTTCCGGCCCGCCAGGCTGCAGCGGTGACTCAGGGTGCAACCTGCAGGCCTGCCTGGAGGAGGAATGCAGAGCTGCTGAGGCTGGCTGGCTGCAGGCTTCGGGCTTTCCTTTCCTGGCCTGGGTTTCTGTGGTCTGGTTACTCTATTGCTCCCCAGTGTTTAGCATACTTTAAGGAGATAATTTTGTTTTGTTTTGTTTTGTTTTAAGATTTTTGCCATAGGGTGCATGTACTCACCTGGAGAAAGACAGAGAGAGATGAAAAGTGAGAAGTCACCCCAGGAGCAATGGCCATGCCACCATCCCTTCTGCAGGCTTCTTCTTGGGATTTTGGGCATGCACACACATTCCCTTGGCATAATTTTCAGGCTGCCAAGTCCGAGACGCTAAATGCAGCATGTGGGGGTGCAGTCGGTCAGGTGGGAGTCTGTAACCACTACGCCACCTGCTGGTTCTGACGGCACCCTCTTATCTTAACAACCAGTGGCTCTTAGAGCAGAGACCAAGGCCCAGGGGAAACCAGAAAGGAAGCTGGCGAAGATCAAAGTTGGGAGTCCCGAGCTAAACACCTCCTGGCTTGGCTTCCTGTACTGAAGCCAGACTGGGCAAGCCATTCCGTCGGGGTAGGCTTGGCTGAGGCTGTAAAACATGCCTCCCAGAAGGCCCTGGGGTGCAGAGGGCGTCAGGACTTCCTGACTTGAGCATCACTAGAGCCGGATCGCCAGCCCGTTCGGCCAGTGCCGGGCACACGTACACAACATGGCTTTGCCCACTCCTGTCCTCACCTCAGCTTTGTCACGGCCTGTCCCTTTCTTGCCTCCTGGCTTTCCCTTTTACTCCCCTCCCCATTTATCCTTCTACCTGGGCCGTTTGTGTGAATGTAGCCGTGGAAGGGGCTGGGCCTATGGAGTATGAAGGCAGTGCCTGCGTGGGGCTTGCTACAGATGTATGAAGGCTCCTCTGGGGCCAGCAAGTGACCAACCATGGTTCAAGTCCCAGACCCAGTGGCTTGAAACTCACGCTGGGCCCATGTGTGTGTGTACCCAAAATCCCAAGAAGAGAATGGAAGAGAAGGGATTGGGGTGGCCATCCCTCTCGGGGGAGTGATTTCTCACTTTCTCTCTCGTTGTCGCTCTCTGCCTCTCTGGCTAGTACACACACACCCTATAGCAAAAATCTCTCCAAAGAAAGGGAAAAAAGAAAAAGACTCTTCCAAGCCCAGCCCCATAACCTGAGGGTTAAGGGAGCTGGATCCCACATGCCAGCAACAGTTCAAATCCTAGACATGGAAGTTTGAAAAACATGTCGGGTGAAAGCATGCATGTGCCCTAGACCCTGACAGAATGGGGAAATGGAAGAGGAGCGATTGTGAGGTGACCCCGCCCCGCCGAGGGTGCTGTCTCCCTCCCTCTCTCTCTTTGGTGAGCACGCACACCGTCTAGCAAAACTGGAACGCACAGTAATAAAGAATGGGGCAGCAGGTAGCATGGAAGATGAGGCGCTGGATCCCGTACGGCCGACTCTTTGGTTTGAGTCCTGGACCTAGCAGCTTGGAAGTCACACCGGGTGCACGTGTGTGTGTGTGTGTGTGTGTGTGTGTGTGTGTGTGTGTGCTCAAAGGAGGAGAATGGAGGAGAAGGGATTGTGGCATGGCCAGCCCCCCTTGGGGGTGCTTTCTCACTTTCTCTGTGTCTCTTGTGAGCACACATGCCCTTTAGCAAAAACTTGAAAAAAAATCACACACACACACATGAACAATAATTAAAAAAAAGAACTTCCTTTCACTTGTGTGCACCCCCCAGGAAAGATGTCCCCAGGAACTCCACTCACGTCCACCCCAGTCTGATTCTCTCCAAAGCTTTGTAGTATCGCATGATCCAGGAAGGTGCACGGATCCTAACTTCCTCGTTGCAAATGTTTACACTCTGATCCCAGCACCCACATGGAGAGGCAGCTCTCCAAACTCTGGGGCTACTTGGTAGAAAAAAAGTCCCCAGCAGAAGTCGCCTGCCAGAGCCCGATCAGAGAAGCAGTCCTGGAACACCTGCAGGCCCCCGGCATTGCTGGCTGCTGCGGGGGAAACAGGGCAGTACCACCCAGGTCTGGGGCCTCTAGCTTTGAGTCAGAGAAAATGTCGTTAGCAGGACGAGAGACGTGAAGTGCTGGGCTGCACCACGCCGACTGTCCACGTTTTAAGGGCGAGCTCTAAGTTTCGTGACTGAAGGTGGCCTGGGGTGACTGCTTCAGTGGACAGGCTTGAGCTGGTGGTTTTGGATCTGCGCGTCTAGGGCACCCCTACCCCAGCTCTCCTAATGGTGTCTCCTGTGTGTGGTTTTCCCCAGGTGCTCCTGGCTCTGTTGGTGGGAATACACCCACATGGGGTTATTGGATTGGTCCCTCACCTTGGGGACCGTGAAAAGAGAGACAGTCAGTGTCCCCATGGAAAATACAGCCACCCTCGGAATAATTCCATTTGCTGTACCAAGTGCCACAAAGGTAGGAGAAAGTGCTGGCGGCGAAGCCCCTGCTTCTTCCTTGGCTTGCTCCAGATGTTCTAGAACCTGCTGTGCCCCCACCTGCGGCCCTTGCCCACTGCCCGCCCTCCTCCTCCCTCCCATCCCCTCGCTTTGCTGCTCCTCCTGGGATGGACTTTTCTCCCTCCTTTCTTCTTCTAGAGACTCCAAGGAAGTGCCCCGGGGTTCTTCCTTGAGTTCCCGGCCTCAGTCTAGTCCCACTGCCCCATTCACAGGGACCTACCTGTACGATCACTGTCCAGCCCCAGACCAGGTGACGGACTGCAGGGAGTGTGAGAATGGCACCTACACTGCCCGGGAGAACCAGCTCACACAGTGCTTCAGCTGCACCATATGCCGCAAAGGTGACCTCAGCTGGGGTGACGGCTGGGGAGGTGCTTCGCCGGGTTCGTCAGAGGCATGAGCATGCCTGCCTGTGCGGGAGGGCCTGCAGGTCGGCGCTGGTGGGTGCAGCCTGGAATGAGTGTGCATCTGTGGCACGGTGTGCCGGGTGTAGGCGTGTGTGACAGAGACACCCACGTGGTGGGTGAGGGTGTCAACAAGTGGACAGAGGGTAAAGGTAAATAGAATTTTTTTTTTTTGGCTATTGTTTATTTTTGGTTAAGTTTTTATTTCTTCCACAAGCAAGAGAGACAGAGGGAGAGAAAGAGAGAGAGAAAACCCCACTGGGTCTCGACACCACAGTCCACCTCCGGTCTCAGCCAGCCCTGGTCACTGGCATCGCGCCTGGTGGCATACTCAGGGAGGTCTCCGGACATGAACCGGGAACCTTCCCATGGGGGTCAGCCTTGCAGAGAGTCGTGTTTTACTGCTGCACCCCCACCTGGCCTCGCAGCAGGATGCAGGATTTACGCCCATCCCCTTCCCGCCCCAGAAATGCACCAGGTGGAGATTTCTCCTTGCGCAGTGGACCAGAACACCGTGTGTGGCTGTAAGAAGAACCAGTACCAGCATTACTATGATGAAACCCTTTTCCAGTGCATGAACTGCAGCCTCTGTCCCAATGGCACCGTACATCTCCCCTGTGAGCACCGCTCTCCTGGCCCCGGTCCCGTCCCCAGCCCCGGCCAGCCCATCTCTCTGGGGAAGGTCTCCATCTTCCTGCCTCCCACCATGTGGAGCACTTCCGTCCACCCCCCTCTGTGGTCTGCGTCCTCTGTGCAGGGTGCAGGGCGTCCCTGCTTTAGCTGCGCCATGCTTCTCCACAGGCCAGGAGAGACAGAACACCGTGTGCAGCTGCCATGGAGGGTTCTTTCTCAGGGAGAACGAGTGTGTCCCCTGCAGCGAGTGAGTACCTGCCACCTGGGTGGGGCGGGCCACTGGCAGGACGAGGAAGGCACTGCAGAGTGCTTGGGCTCCTACTGTCAGTCTCATAGGGGGACACTTCATCATAGGCCTGTCCCCTCTCCCACAGCTTGGTTTTGCTATAGGGTGTGTGTGTTCACTGGGGAGAGACAGGGAGAGAGAGAGAGAAGGAGAGTGAGACATCACCCTCTTGGAGGGATGACCATACCACAATCCCTTCTCCTTCATTCTCCTCTCGGGATTTTGGACATGCACACTCATGTGCCTGGTGTGATTTTTGAAGCTGCCAGGTCTGGGACTGAACTGTGCAGGCAGCCATGTGGGATCCAGCTGCCTTAACCATTATGCCACCTACTGGCCAGTTCTTCAAAGCTTAAGAAGTCTTTGGGGATGGAAACGCATATCCCAAGGACTTGAGGTCCTTCTAACTTAGCTGTTCAGACTCGGGCAACAAAGTTGAGGACACACTTTTTAAAAAAAATTTTTTTGGAGAGGTTTTTGCTACAGGACACATGCGCTCACCTGAAAGACAGAGAGAGACAGAGAGATGGAAAGCGAGAAATCACCCCCCAGGGGGGATGGCCATGCCGCAATTCCTTCTCCTCCATTCTCCTCTTGGGATTTTGGGATCTGGGGCATGCCCCCACGCCCAGCGGGAGTTTAAGCCACCGGCTCCAGGACTCGAACTGCGGTCGACTACATGGGAGTTCAGCGACATAGCCATGACGCTAATTGCTGGTCCCCTCTAGGCCACACATTTTCACATCCCTGAAATCAGCCTGCATCTTCCAGCAACTGATGATGTAACATGTTCACTGGCGGCTGTGTGTGTGTGTGTGTGTGTGTGTGTGTGTGTGCGCGCGCGTACGTGTTACCTAAAGGATGGAAGAATGATGTCTCTTATTATAGTTGAACTTAGCCCAAAGGCAAAGAAGCAATGATGCCTCTTATTACTGATGGCATCTTAGATTTGATGCAGTATGGATTTCCTTTCTAGTGTTTTTAATTTTTTAAGAGAGATTTTTGCTATAGGACACAAGCACTCATCAGAAAGAGAGACAGAGAGACAGAAAGCAAGACATCACCCTCCCCCAGGAGGATGGCCACACCGCAGTCCTTACCCCTCCATTCTCCTCTTGGGTTTTGGGCACGTATGCACACACACCTGGCGCCAGTTTTGAGCCACCGGGCCCAAGATTTGAACCACAATTGACTACATGGGAGTCCAGCAATATATGCCATCTGCTGGTCCCCCCCTTTTTTTTTCTAAGACAAGTCTCTCTATGTTATGATCCTCCTGCCCTTTGTCTTTTTTCAAAAGTGCTTTTTATCCTCATTTTGCGTGGCTTTTACCCTGAGTGGCAAGGTGGCAAACATCGCCTCTTCTGCCTTCAGACTCCTGCTGAGAGCATAGCTACCTTCTGAGTCCCGCCCAGCTCCGCAGTCCCCTCCTCCACACAGTTCTCAAGCCACTGCCCAGGGACAGGTCCCACGCTGGGGCAAGTACCCTCTGCTGCCCCTAGCGATATGTACTTCAGCGTGTCCTACATGCATGTTTGACAGCTGCCCTCCCGGGTCACGTACTGTAACTAGCAATGCCATTGGAGAAAAGACCTTCACCTCTCTTTGTGTAGCAAACAGTGATAAAATAACAATCAGTTCTGGGCCAGCAGGTGGAACGTGGTGAAGGCACAGGATCCCACATGGCTGACTCTGGTCCATGTCCCGGATCTGGCAGCCTGAGAAACACGCTGGGTACGTGTGTGTGCCCAAAATCCTGAGAGGAGAAGAGAGTGCAGTGTGGCCATTCCCCTGAGGGATTTCTCACCTTCCCTCTTTCTCTGTCTCTGGTTAGCACACATGCCCTATACCAGAAAATGTAAAAAAAATCAAAAACCCAATTCAGTTCTTATTTTTTTTTTTTTTTAGAATTATTTTATTTGACTTTATTTAATTTGACCAGAGCGAGACAGAGTGAGAAAGAGAAAGTGAGAAAGCAAGCCCCAGGTCCGGGACTCAAACCACGGTTGGCTGTGTAGAAGTCCAGCACCCTTAAACACCATGCTACCTGCCAGCTTCTTTTATTTATTATTTTTAAATGCCAGAGACACAGTGAGACAGACAGACAGGGAGAAGGTGAAAGCATCGCCCATGGAGTATGGTCATGCTCAGTCCCTCCTCCATTTTTCCATTCTGTTGGGGTTTTAGGCACACCTGCACATGTGCCCAGTATGTTTTTTTTAAGCCGCTGGGCTGAGATTTGAACCCGTGATTGGCCATATGGGATCTGGCTGTCTTAATCACCAGGCTGGCCCCAAATTGATTCAATAACTGTTCATGGAGCGCTTATTACTTGGCTAATTCCTTTACTTGCTCCTCAATCCTGAGAGGCAGGTATGACCCCCACCATGCTGATAAGGAAAGTGGCTTGCTTGGAGTCACACTACTAGCCAGTGAATGGCGACCTGCCCTGACCGCTTTGAAGCTTTTTGTACACAGCTTTTCAAGATCTTTTCTAGGGGCTGGCGGGTGGTGTGGTGTTTAGGGGCACTGGACTCCCACATAGCTGACTGCGGTTTGAGTCCTGGACCTGGTGGCTTGCTTTCTCACTTTCCTTCTCTCAGTCTCTCACTCTGTCCCTCTCTGGTCCAATTAAAATAAATAAATAAAGTTAAATAAAATACTTATTAAAATAAAAAACTCTTTCAATCCTAAAATTAAATGATTTCGTGATTGACCGATCAGTTTCCAAGCTAGGTTCAAGTCCATTATGTCAAAAGAGAGCAAAAATACTTGCAAAGCAAAGCATTTCCGGCCCTCTGTGGGTTGACGTGTCCTCCGACAGTAGGGCCTCTGGTCACCCGCCATCTCTTCCTTTAGATGCCAAGGAAGCCCGCAGTGCATGAAGTCGTGCCTACCCTTTTCTGAAAATGTTCAGGGCCGTCAAGATGCAGGTAGGAGGCGACCCGGTGACCTGCCCTGTCTCTAACCCTGGCCTCTCCATCAGCCATCCATCCTGGGGCCTCCCTCTGGCCTGACCCCTGACAGCGACCTGCTTCCTTTCCAGACACCACAGTGCTGCTGCCCCTGGTGATCTTCTTGAGTCTCTGTCTGTTGTTGGTCGTCTTCGTCGGGTTACTGTGTCGCTTCCGGCGCTGGAAACCCAAGCTCGTCTCCATTGGTACGTGGGGCCTTTGGGAGGGGAAGGATGGTGGGGATGTGGCGGAGGCTGGGTGGGACAAGCTCCGACGGAGAAGAGGAGTGTCCCCTTCACTTCTGCAGAGCACTGTGGCTATGGTGGCTGGACGGGCCTCATCAGCTCTCGGTCCCTTGGGCCACACAGGCTCTGAGGTGTATACCCACAAGTCCCCACTGGGAGTCCCAGCACAGGGGGCCAGGACCCAGAGGGGAAGTGAAATTTATGACACTTTGTCTCTTTTTTCTCAGTCTGTGGGACTTCGAAACCTGTAAAAGAGGTGAGCTGAAACTAGGGACCTACTCCCGACTGCCCTGGCTGTTGCTTATAATCTTGTAATACCCAACTCGCCTGGAGTCACCCTCACTCCCTGGGGACCCCTAGTTCCTTCCAGCCCCAACTGCCACCCAGAATAGAGGGCCGGGGCTGTTCTCTCTCCCCCAATGCTGTGCCTTCTCTTTTTCAGGGGGAACTCGAAGGAATTACCACCAAGCCCCTAGCCATGTCTCCAGGCTTCATTCCTCCGGGTTGCTTGAGCCCCCCTCCGGGCTTCAGTCCCACCACGGTCTTCAGTCCCATCCCCAGTTCCACCGGCCCCTCTGGCTCCACCTACATCCCCAGAGACTGTCCGGATTTTAGGGACGCATCACCCTGGAGAGAGGTAGCCTCACCCTACCAGGGCGCTGAACCAGCCTTCCCTTCAGCCCTCACCTCCACCCCCATCGCCACCCCAATTCAGAAGCTGGAGGAGGGCGCACACTCGCCACGCCCAGACTGTGAGTTCCGGCAGGGAGGTGGGGCGGTGTGGGCGGAGCTCCCAGGGGCGCGGCGGAGCGGCGGCGGTGGAGGCGGAGTGCGGGCGCAGTGGAGGCTCACCGCAGGCTCACCGCTCGCTTCCCTGCAGCCGACCCCGCGACGCTGTACGCGGTGGTGGACGGCGTGCCGCCCACGCGCTGGAGGGAGTTCATGCGGCGCCTGGGGCTGAGCGAGCACGAGATCCAGCGGCTGGAGCTGCAGAACGGGCGCTGCCTGCGCGAGGCGTACTACAGCATGCTGGGGGCCTGGCGGCA